GTACTTTGTGAAAGGACTGATTGGAAGTCATGCTCATGTGCGGTCTAGTTGATTCTTGCGAAGGATCTGGTTCTTTTGAAGAACGTTGCTGATTCTGCTCCATCTTGCACTGCGCCATCTTCAGTGGGCGCAATCTTTGGTTCCTTCCTTGGGCGTGAACACCTCCATTGGGAGATATTGTTTCTTCGTATCAGGTATATCCCTTTCCTACTGTTTTTGTTCAGATTTGGTTCGGTTCTTGGTTCAAGATTGATCCTTGAAAAATATGATTTTTCTAAAAGAGGGAAAGCCTGGCCCAATTTTAAGAGGCAGCTTGACTAGGTTGTTCCACGTTTACATCTATTGCAGTTGATGCTTATGTGAATCAAACACGAAATGATTGAAGAATGGAATTTGGATCTCGTAAGTCCTATCCACAAGAATCCTACCCATACCTCTATAGTTGTACATTGGGAACATCTCCCCATGAATGGGGACATGTAAATACCAGAGATGTTCTCAATGTACAACTCCAGTGACATGTGAGTCGGTTTTGATAAGCTTGTCCTGATCAAAACCGACCTCGAAATTGAAATCAACAGGAGTGAGATTTCATTAAGGCTGCAACTTGGGCCAGGTTGGCCTGAACCCAACCCGAAAAAGTTGGGTTGGGTTGGGTCGGGTTGATGTTCGGGTTAGGGTTAGGGTTGAAATTCATGAACCCGACTTTACTTCGGGTTGGATTAGGGTTGACCCCTTAGCCAACCCGACCCAACCCGAACCCGACTCTATAGTACATGTCATATATAAATATATGTTATATGTAATATATAATATACATTGATTTGTTTAGATGCATGATATTTGTATAGCCCCCACCACATAGTATCATGTATATCTTTTAAGATAATGACTTCACTTAATCCTAATCAGAAAGACTAAAACCTTAATAACATTATTTTATGTTTTTTGAAAATTTTATTCTTCATCTCCTCTATGTTGTTTTCCACCCAAGAAAGATCTATTGTAAGTCATAACTCATAATAAACTATAGTCATTTCTAACACTTGTTTTTCTAAATTTTGTACTAAATGAACAAAAAAATAATGTCAACAAACAAATGCTAATGAAACATAGGATTAATATATATAGTGAAAGTTGAGTTAATATCTAAAATCGAGAAATTCTATAAGGTTTTAAAGGATGGGAAGAAGGTTGGGTTAGGGTTGAAGGAATTTAGTTAGGGTTAGGTTGGTTGGGTTGAAGGTCGGGTTGGGTTAGGGTTAGGGTTGGGCTAGGGTTGGCCTCAACCCGACCTAACCCGGCCCGACTTGTAGCCCTAGATTTCATTCCCAAGAGAGGGGAAGGGAATAACCATTCCCTCAAATGGGGAATGCCATTCCACCAATAATGAGAATGGGATTCCAATTCCATCCAACTAAATAATTGGAATCGGAATAGTCCATTCCAATTCTGATTCCAGACCCCTGTTCTGGTGAACCTAATAGGGCCTTGAGAGGAGTTTGGTTTTGATTAGGGAAAGCCCGTGCTCACACCGTCCCGACAGCCTCTTTCAACCTTGCATCGTGAATATCTCCCCATGAAATAAATCACACAAGTGTGGAGATATTCCCAATGCAATTATGCAAGGCTATAAAGGCTGCTCGAACGAGCGTTACCCTGATGGAAGCCTAACTCTTTAATTTTCATTCTCATTCCTGTTTGAACCAAATAGACTATCGAAATAGATCATTTCAAAGGATTTTAATTCCGATTTTGATTCCAATTCTGACTATGAACCAAACGCACCCTATGTTTATTCAATGAATTGGGTTCTTTAAAATGTATCAGTGATGGTCAAAAACTCGTATATGGGGGAGTATTTGGGTTCCCAATTTAATCCTGATGCAAGGTTGGAAGAAGATAGATGTTGGAAGGTGAATTTGTTGCAACATTATTTTACAGAGTAGTAACACGATACACAACAACTCTATATTAGACGAGTTGATGTTGCTTCCGATAGTAGGCGTTGGATACCTGATGGTAAAGGGGCCTATACGGTGAAGTCTAGTTATGGTTTACAAATTAATGTGCCAGTTAGGGTGGACCAAATGTTATAGAGGAAGTTCTGGTCACCTAAATGCTATTCTCAAATTAAATTGTTTATATGGAAATTATTACAGGGTGGGATTCGAACTCGATCTTCATTGCTATGTGAGGGTGGTGAAACAAACTGTCTGTTTGGATGCATGGAGGAAGCAGTTAACTATTTATTTTGTAGATGCCTATTTTGCATATGTTGTGTGGTTTCAGACTGTTGGAAGCAGGGTTGATGGGTTTCACTCACCATTACAGCAATGGGTGGTGGATTTCATCTCTGCAGTTAATAAGAAGGATAATGAGGAAACCAATATGCTGTTATTGGCGTTTTGTGTATTATGGAAGTAATGTTTAGTACGCAGCAGATCGGTGTTTGATGGTGTATAACTCACTCCTTTGCAAACTGTTGACTCTATTCATCCATTTTGGTTGGAATTTCACACTTCTAATTCATTTCATGAGAAAATGGAGAGTATCTAACTTCAGTTAGAGTGTGGTTTGATGGTGCTTGTAAGAATGACAAGGTGTCTATTGCTTGTGGTTTGGGGATTGTTTATCCATGATTTCTTTCTTGCCAAACAGGTAAAGTACTCCACCTTGACGCTTAGCATTTCTCATTGCTGATACTTGTAGAATGGTTGGGCAATTTGGCTGTATCTCCTTTGTCTTTAAGAAGCAGTTTTTTTTTTTTTTTTTTTTTTTTTTTTTGGGGGGGGGGGGGAAATAGAGAGCAATTTAATAATGCGGCTCATTTAGGGGGTGTTCTATAATATGGATGAGAAATTAGTGGGTGTAGATTGATCCATATTATACTCTATGGCAGGGACCAATCCACACCACACTACTATTTTACAGTTATTTTTAGTTGTGGACGAAATTATGTAGATAGAAATTGTCTACACCCACAAGGCATTCTACCGATGTAACGTGGATTGGTTTGCACCACATCTATTGATTCCATACATTTTATGTACAAATTGTGGGATAATTTACACAATTGATCATGTCAGACTGGATGGGGGTGATTTGAATTAGATTCGATTTCAATAAAAAAATATGACAGATGGTTATCCGAATATGACAAAAATAGTATCGGATTTTAGAGTGATCCTATCCATTTGAACCTGTATGATCATGAATGAAAAAGAAACCTAATTTAAGCCAAAAATAATTTGAAATAATAATATAAAATAATAATAGACAAAATAAAACACCAATGCATAATAACTAACAAATATAAAATAAATATATTTGCCATTATGATATTTTCTTCACCAATAAATAATTTAAAATATATTAAACAATTAAATAAAATGAGAGTAGTTGGATTAATGTAACACAAATGTCCTCTTCCCACAAATTGTTCATATCATAGTGTGGTCTATCTATGAGAAAATACCGTGGATGATAAATTGGGGTGTGACTCGTCCTTGTTCATGCTATTTTGTGGACGATGACCATCCATACATCGCAAACACCACATTCTACTATGGATGAGACCGTTTTCACACTACTGAATGCCCTCTTACTAGTTGCATCAATTCCTAGTTCTGGGTGTATGGGAGGAGTGGCATGTCTGTATTGCTTCCATCGTTCATTTGGCTCAGTTTGGCAGTTTTGAAGGAGTACAAGTACAAATATGTAGAGTGCAAATCTGTGGATTTTTGTATTATTTTGCATGTATTTGCACTGTACATGTTTGTATTTGTACTTTTTCCATATTGAACCTTAATAAATTATCGGATTCAGTTATAACCAAAAAAAGGGTTCTTTGCCTTTAAACCTTTTAACCTCAAAAAGCTTAAACTTAGACACCATTTAATTCATGGGAATAGGGGTATGGAATCGGAACCGGAATGGGCTATTCCGATTCTAACTGTTTGGTTGAGTGGAATTTGAATCCCATTCCTATTCCTGCTGGAATGACATTCCCCCATTTGAGGGAATGACCATTCCCTACCTCTCCCTTGGGAATGAAATTCCTTTCTTACTGATTCCAATTTTTATTCTCATTCATGTCTAAACCAAACAGACTATAAGAATGGATCATTCCGATTCTAATTCTAACTACGAACCAAACAGACTCTTAATTATGTCAATTAGGCTTTGTTAAATGGATTAACTTATCTAACCTAATTTTTTCCTTAATTGAATTCATTAACTAACATACTTAATCTGTTTAACCTAATTAACCTAGGATAACATAAAACGTAGCTTGAAAGTTTTAGGATTAGGCCAAGGCTATGACCAATCAAACATGAGCTCAGCCCAGCTCGCAATATATTGATATATGATGCAGAATATACTTTATACATCCAATCATCCAATATCATGAAAACGGGAAACCAATCAAATGGTTTTCCTCAAAATTCATTGGAGCTTTTGATTGGTCAAACCTCATCTGTTTTGACATCAAACATTTATCTTATATAACATTTTTTTTAATGTTTTGACACATATAATACATATAATATAATATAAACTACAAACTAAAGGCATGGCCTTTGTTTGTTTCATAAGACTTATAACCTAATATCATTTAATAAATTCTGCCCATCGCATGGGTTTCAACTAGTTATGATCTAAATTCTAATGCTTATTCATATAGCATCACACCAGTCACCAGTGACTCTCAAATCCACAAATTTTGTAGTTTATAGTTTCCTTTCCCCTCGCCGCACATCAGTTTCTTTAGATTGATCTGTCTTTTCTTGTTTTAGTTACATTGCAGATAATTATCATATACCTTGGGGTGGCATAATTCCGTTAAATTAGTGTTATGGCAAAGGGTAAAATTATGAAAATACCCATCTTCGGACACTTACCGCCTTTGGTTTGTGTGCAAAAGTAGAAGAAAGATAAACAGCCAAAATATGGGTATCTTTGTAATTCGCCCTCATCGTAACGTTAATTTAACGAAAGGTAAGTCATAAGCGTAGAAGCCACAACAATGCAGTCCAATCTGTAGATGTAAAACGAAGTGAATTTTGAAGCAGCAGGACTTTTTTCTTCGGATCCATGGCTGCCAAAGCAAGCTCTGCACCTCTCCCCAAATCAGGTGCTGTTTCGAAAGGCTACAACTTTGCTTCTACCTGGGAGCAGGTATTCGAATTTAGCTTCCCCCCTTATCTCTTTGCTTCTACGAATACAATTATTCTTTAGGCCATAATTATCCTAAGCTTTATAAGTAATTTGGAGTGCTTTTAGAAACCCCAATTTTCTCAAATCAAATGCTGGAATTCTTATTGTGGAATGTAAAAACGAAAAACTTGCAGATCTGTATAGGCAATCTCGAAATGTTGCTCATTTTTTACCAGTATCTTGACTATTCCCACAAGAGCGCGGATTCGTTATTGTCTACTCCCTGTATTTCTCTCCATTTTACATTAACTGGAATAAATTGCGTAATCTGTAGTAAAGTTCAATAGCTGTTTCGCCTAAGCAATGGATGAATGGATCTCTTCACTGAAATGCAATATTCTAGATCTATATGAGTACAAGATGTAATTTTCCACTTTATCATGAAAAAAAAAAAGAGTTTCAATTTGCTTAGTTGCATTGTTCCGGAATTAGATTGAAATTGATAAAATATAGGTCGGTTTCTTTCTAGAAGGTTTGTTGTTTTGACAATTTCAATCTGGTGGCTTGAATAGATTTTCCATTTGGATAAAATTTAGTATGCAAATTTGGAATTTGGATGGTTGAGCAATTTATTTTGATCATATAATTTCATTTCTTTCTGAGCATAGAAGTTATACAAATACGCAACCGGTAACTTGCATTTTTCTCATCATTTGAAGTAATGAAGTAATCTTTTGTATAACATAACATTTATTACTTGGCTTTGGATAAATAAGTAATTTATTCGTGTAAGATGCATAACATCATGTACTCTGCTCTTTCATGATTGATTATTTTATCAGTTGCTTTTTTACTTCTCATCTGAGTCTAGCACATATTTTTGTCTTAAAAGTGCATTTCAGATTGTCTTCAACAGGTTTTTTGCCTTCTTTCTTGTCACTGCTTTACTCCTTGATTTATTGGTTATATTCCATTTGGCCACTTCCATTAACTTGAGTTATAGCAAATGTGAGCTTCATTGCTTTTGTTCATGTTCCTTAAATTGGAATTTCTTAGTTGGGTATTTATACTCTGCTCCCTGTTTTACCATCTAGTTTCCTTGAGCTAATTTGTATTAGGCTCTGTTTGGGAAGAGTGCAAATACAAATATGTACAGTGCAAAACTGTGTAGATGGTATTTCTAAACCTTGTATTTGCACTCTTCCCAAACCGAGCCTTAACTCCACATTTTTCAAGCTCTATTGTTTGTTCTTGTTTATGTTTCCTTTGGTTGTAGTATAGTACCAACCCAGCTTGTTTTAATTGAATATGCTCTTTCCCTTGGGAATTAGTGGTTTACTTCCTGCTTCACTGTTTGTTTTCTTGAGTTCACTTTCAAAACATCATTCTTTTCCAAATATGAACTTCATTGCTCTTGTTCACGTTCCCTCACTATATAATAGTATATATAACCCCATAATATATACAACTCTAGTAGGTAGCTTGCTTATCACCTTCTTGCAATCTTGTTTTGCAGAATGCTCCATTGACAGAGCAACAACAAGTGGCGATAGTATCACTCTCTCATGCAGTTGCGGAGAGACCATTTCCAATCAATGTGGTAGGCGTTTTTTTTCCACACTGGCTTTGTTAACAATACCAAATTATTTCTGAAAATGCTCTAGATGATTCTCTTGAATTCCTTTCCTTCAAGCTTAAATTTTCATTTCAGTGTTTCATCATTGATTTTGGAAGATTTTTCATTTAATGGTTTTTTTGGGTGTGTCTTGATTGATGCCTTATTTTGTTTAAGTACACAAGTGGTAATGGAATTTCTATCTATCATCAAATCACTATTGGTACATATTTTGCAGTCTCAAGAACATATTTCAGGGCAAGAGAATGGTTTGTCAACTTCTCCGAAGGACAAGACTTTAGAAGACTCGGGAGCTATTGAAGCAGTTTTGGTCAACACACATCAGGTTTGCTATTGGATTTCCATCATTGTTTTCTTGCCCTTGCTTTTTTATTCCCTGGAGCAAGTTATTCTATTCTTAGTGACTTGAAGAATGTAGCGAGGTAATAAAAGGGAGTTATACATTTCTTTGTAGCTACAAGGTGAGATGTTTTAGGGGAATGCGCAAATTCCCCTACAACATAAGCAATATCTAGGCAAGTCATAGATCAGTACACCAACTTTCCTACCAACCTTTGGAACTGTCTCACATCTAGTAGCACTTCACCGTTTCTCCCAAATTATGGTTGAGATTCATATGAGAATCTATAGGCCTAGACCCCAACTTCCTTGTATCCTTAAGAAGATCTAGGATGTACTTTGTGAAATGAAGATGTCTTTGTAAGACTTGGCAGCTTCAATTCCAAGGAAATACTTCAATGGACCTAGATCTTTTACTTCAAATTAAGTAGCTAAAAGAAAATTACCTACATCTTTTACCTACCAAAACAAGTAGCTAAAAGGCCTATCATCCGGTGGACTAGGAATGATAAGTTTGCAGCTAAAATGGAAAACTCTTATGGAGTTTTTGTTGTCAATTGGGGCAAATGTTTCAATGTAACCAACCCTGTGCATTTGGGTGAAGCCTTTGACTACTAAGTATGTGTTTGGTTCCTTCGGCGTTTATTGAGTAAACGTTTTGTACTTGATGTGGCTGCAAAACCAAGAAAAGCAATTAATGAGGGGGTTTATGACACATAGGCGCCATTAGGCATCACAGTAGCAAAAGTGCCAATAAATGCCTACCCGTTGGGGGAAGCTCCAAAATGAAGCTTCCTGAAACGGGAGAGGCGCATAGAAATCGATGTTTGCTTTTGCAAACATTGATACGTATGGATGCGCATAATGAGGCCTTTGCTGATGGGGCACCTATGTGGCAGCGTTTACTCAATAAACACCAATGGAACCAAACACATACTAAGTTGGCCTTGTATATCTTTGTAGATCCATCAACTTGGTATTTCAGTAAGAAAACCCATTTATTTGTTGCAAGTTTCTTTCCTTCAAGAAGATCAATCAACTCCCACATGTTCTTATGAAGATCATTCATTTCTTCTAGCATAGCTTTGCTCCATTCAGGGGAATCTAAAGTCTTTGCAACACATTTAGGAATAAAAACACTACAAATAGCTGATGCAAAGGCACACTAAATGTGGATAAAGCAGCAGAAGAGGTAAATCAAGCAATAAGATGTTTGTTACATGATCTAACACCATTATAGACTAAAATGTGAAGATCAAGATCACTGAATCCAGTTCTACTACCCACAAGACGCTACCCACACCCTCCCTACTCAAAAGACATTACAACCACACATCGGTAACATCTCTTGTGCTTGTATGTTTTCAGTCATGGGAGATGTTCCTAATGCGTGGATGTTTGTCTTGTGGGTAGTAGATTCAAGCTCCAAGATCATTAGGTAGGGTACCAAAATTACCTGGCTGAAGTGAGAAAGTATTACTTGTCTAGTAAGACTGCAATCAGTCCTTGTTTAGATGTGAAATAAACAAGGAAGAATGCAGAGAATAAAAAAAGAAGAAAGAAGAAGAGGAGAAGGAGAAAAGAGAACACGAAGAGGAGAAAAAAATTCAAAGAAGAGGGTGGGTCATAACTGAGGTTGTCGCCCCACTCAATTATTTATATTGATGATTTAAAACAGGGTAAAAAACCAGAATTACCCCTATTGCTTACATAAGCTAAAAGATAACAGAAAATAACTATCAACTAATCCAACTAACATACTAATATAAGCAACATAAACAGACATGCAGCAGTGGGGACCACATTATTGTTCTACATCTCTAAACTCCTCCTCAAGTTGGGATTAGATATTAGTCATTCCCAATTTGCATAAGTCTGTCTCCAACTTGGTCTTTGCAACTGCCTTAGTGAAGAGATCTGGAAGCTACATATTGGAGGTGATATATGGAAGACACTTCTTGGGAAGCAATTCTCTCTCTGATAAAGTGTCGATCCACTTCAATATGCTTAGTTTTGTCATGTTGTACCAGATTATGGGCAATGTCAATAGCAGCCTGATTATCACAATACAACATCATGGGCTTCTCATAAGCAATACCGAACTCAAATAGGGATCTCAACCATAACACTTCAGCCACACCATTCGCCATAGACTTGTATTCAAATTAGCATTGGAGCGAGCAACAACATTTTGTTTCTTCTCCAAGAGACAAGATTTCCTCCTACAAAAGCACAATACCTAGAGGTAGACCTCCTATCATCAACACACCCAGCTCAATCAGCATCTGTGTAAACTTCTATTTTCATGTGACCGTTATCTTTGAAGAATATACCTCTGCCTGGACATCTCTTCAAATAAGCCAGTATCCTCTCAACTGCAAGTAAGTGAGTGGTTCTGGGGGAATGCAAATACTAGCAAACAACACTGACTGCATAAGAAATGTCTGGTCGTGTGAGGCAAAGGTAGAGAAGTTTCCCAACCAACCGTTGAAACATAACTTGTCTTCAAGAGGCTCTCCACCTTCAGTGCTTATTTTATGATTTTGTTGAATAGGTGTGTCAACAGGTTTAACACCTAGCTTCCTAGTTTCTTCCAAAAGATCAAGAACATGCTTCATTTGGGAAACAAAAATCCCATGTTTAGACCGTGCTACCTCAATGCCTAGGAAATAACGGAACTCTTCCAAGTCTTTGACCTCAAATTCTTGGTGAATGAGTTGCTTAAGAGAGTCAATTTCACAGGTATCACACCCTGTCACCACAATATCATCCACATATATAACAAGTAGAGTTAAGGAGGAATCCATTTTCTTAAAAAAAAGGGTGTGATCTGATTGGGCTTGCACATGGCCGATTTTTTCAAGAGTCTATCTAAATCTATCAAACTAGGCTCTGAGAGACTATTTTAGTCCATATAAGGCCTTATTAAGCTGACAGACCTTCTTCATTGCTTTTGTACTATAGAATCTAGGAGGTAACTCCATGTACACCTCTTCTTGCAAATCACTATTGAGGAAGGCATTTTTAACATCCATTTGGAACAATTGCCATGAGAAATTGGCTACAATAGATAGTAAGACTCTGATAGTGTTCATCTTTGCTACTGGTGCAAAAGTCTTCAAGTAGTCAATGCCATATGTCTGTGTAAACCCCTTTGCAACTAATCTGGCCTTATACCTTTCAATGGAACCATCAGTATTACGTTTCACTGTAAACACCCATCTACACCCAATCGGTTTCTTCCCTTTAGGCTGATCAATTAACTCCCATGTATTGTTCTTTAGAAGAGCATCCATCTTTACCTTCATTGCATTCTTCCACTCAAGTACTGACAAGGCTTCTTGCACTGTTTTGGGAATGGAAATAGCAGTGGTAGATGTTGAAAAAGACTTGTAGGATGCAGACAAATGATCATAGGACAGAAATTGGGGAATACAATGAGCTGTAGATGGGGTACAACAACACTTCCTTTTATAGACTACAATTGGAAGATCAAGATCTTTCAATGGAGGAGGAGAAGGCTCATCAATGGAAGGTATTTCATCTGTAGTGGAAGATAAAGGAACTGTGGTACTTGGATCTAGAGCCGTAGAGGAAATTGGAGTTGGCTTGGACTGCTGATGGCCGAAACCAACTTGCCTCCACCGCTTGTGATATACCCTCAAATCCCGACACCTTTGACAACCCTCCTCACTACACTCCCCTTTATTGATTGGAACAAACAATGGAATTTCTAATGAATGAGACCCCATCTCACTACTCTCCCCCTAAGAAGAAACTCTAGGATAATCAAGTACATCCTCAAAAAAAGTGACATCCATAGAAACAAATCATTTCCCAGAAGTAGGTTCATAGCAACAATATCCCTTTTGATTTTGTGCATACCCAAGGAAAGTGCATTTTGAAGCTTTAGAATCAAATTTGGAACGATGAGGTTCAAGAATTTGAATGAAGAAAGTACATCATTAAAGTCTTAAGGGGAATAGTAAACAACTCCTGTCAAGACTGCTGGAACAGACCAACAGAAGGCAGTTAATCAGTTTTACAAGAGGAACAAAAGGCAGTTAATCAGTTTTACAAGAGGAGGCCACATCAG